CCTTCCTCTCCAATGCAACAGGTCATTCTCCCTGATACTAATAGGTGCTCCTGGTTGCAACTTTCCCTAGCAAAGTGCTGCTGATCTCCGTGTGGAGGATACAGAGCTTCAAAAGCAGGTCACATGCTCTGTGAATGCAGGAGATGGAGCACAAGTAGATGGCAGAGTAAGGAAAATGGTTATCTTATTCATAACTTTAAATGTGTTTAAGAATAGTAAATAAGTAGATTATCTTTGTTTCAAAAAATAGTTTCAATGATTGATTTTGATCAATTGGGCTTCTTAGAAAATTTTCTAGAAGTTCTGAGGAATTCTTAATGAGATTAATAAATTATGTACAATAATTTCAGTAATTGCAATATGACAGAATCACAGAACAGTTTGGCTTGGAAGGGCCTTTCAGAGATCATGTAGTCCAACCCCTATGTCATAGACAGGAGCTTTTGGCACAAGACCAGGCTGTTCATAGGCCATCCACAGTTTTCCTGGGCAACCTTTTCCAGTGCCTCACCTTGTCATAAAAAATTTCTTCCTATCTAAATATATATAAATATATCCTCCTTCAATTTAAAACTCTTGCCACTTATCCTGTCACTACAGTCCTTGGTAAAAACACTCTCATTCTTTCTTATGATTGTCAAATATATATTTAAAGACAAAGTTTCCCCATAACCTTCTCTAATGGAGCCTGAACAACCCCATCTGTGAGACTTTCCTCATAGGAGATATATTCCAATCTTCTGGCAATTTTTGTGGCCTTCATCTAGACCCACTCTCACAAGTTTATGTCATTCTTGTTCTGAGGATTCCTCAGTTGAGTTCAGAGCAAGAGTCGACGCCCTGAATCTGCTGGTCTCACTTCCTGTGGTGCAGCCCAGGATACAGCTGGCTGTCTGGGCTGCATCAGTTGTTGGCCAGATTTTCATTCACCAGTATCCCCAAGTCCTCTGTGGGGACGGTCTCAATCCATTCAGCACTCAGCTTGTATTGAACTGAGGGCTACTCCAGCCCAGAGGAAGAACCTTGACATGGCCATGCATTTGGTCGTGTCAAAATTTATGAGGTTTACATGAGTCCACTCCTCAATCCTGTAGAGTTCCCCCATCAGTCTTCAAATTCTAATAAACCATGAGATAATTTTTTTATTTTAACAATATTGCCTAGAAGCATGAGACTTAATGATAATGACAATTTTCAAATATTTTTAATTGTTTTCTGATATTATCTTCATGTTTTTCCTATTTTTTTTCTCTATCCAGGGGGCCAGGAAATTATTTCCTACTACTTTTTACATAAAGCTCAGCTTTTAAATAATTTGCATTTCTAGAATGGCTGCTGCTATCAGCAAAAGTAAGTTTAACAATATGAGAAACAATTAGCAGTAACAACACCAAATTAGACAGACTGGAGAATGAGCTATGCAAACCATTTTGTTAAATAGCTGCATGATCCAGTAATGACTGATGGTTTGGAGAGAAGAAAAATCTAGACAGAAAAATAATCCAGAAACTGCCCAAGGACAAAGGTTTCAATTTCCCAGTCACTTGCATACCCAACTAAGTCAGCTCGCTCAGGTAGTTTAAATGAAGTTAATGGAACTGTTCGTGGAAGATATAGCTGTCTGCAAGACTGGGGCCAGAGAGGGCAATTCTATTTTCTCTAATAGACAAGGGGAGAACAATTTTTTGACACAAGCAGGAACTTGTTCAGAAAATACGTGGGGCAGACTAATCTTCAGTTGCCACCAATTAACATATTATAAAGCATGTTGCAAGACTGGGTTTATTTCCTTCTTTGCTTTTTGCAAATACTCTTTCATTATTGTTTAAGTTTTCAAAGGCTGTGCTCAGACATTTCAGTCATGGTAATTGTTGCAGAAAGGCATGAGGAGATTCAGTTCAAAGAGTGTACAGTCCTATAAACTGGAGAATGAAACAGAAGGAAAGAAAAGTACAAATATATGAGCTGATATAAAATTTCCACAGCCTGCAGTTAATAGATTAAAAACATTAAGTGACTATCTGATTGAAGAAAAAAATATTTCTATTGGAATCAATATTTATTAACAATATTCAGAATTTCAGAACTGATGCTGGAAACAGTTTTTTTGCAGAATAAGCTGTAAGAACATAAAATTCACTTATAGCAAATGCTTTCTTTCCTGGAAAATTTATGAAGGAAAACCTTAGAAGAGCATTTATGAATAATTTCCCCACTGGTCACTAAAGTTGAATCAATTCTATCAATATCACCTGGTTTCACTTTCCAGAGAGAAAAGTGTGTGCATCTTGCTAAACTCATTCATTATGAAGGATGAACCTCAAAACCTAAGGCTTGAAGGTAGAACGTATGAGTAGCTAGTGCCATCTTTTACTGAATCTTTTGCTTCCTAGGAAGACTTCTGCAGCACTGTAGTGCCGATCTCCAACAAAAATTGAATTTTTGCTGAGGAGGAATAAAATTTTTTCTAAATTAAGAACCACAGAAATGGTGGGTGTTATAGTTGCACTCTTAGTCCTGTCCTGGTGAAAGTACTTTCTGCTGTGGCAAGAGTGGGAAACTTCCTGGGAAGTCCATGAGCCTGTTCTTACTGGTTCTGAAGCCTGGAAAACTAAAAACTGTATCTGCTTATCACAGAGATAAAGTCATGCAGTGTACAAAACTTCACCAGTGCTGGGATACAGCATGAGGACGTATAATTTCCACTTAAGTGCTGTGCAATTTGCTGCTGTGGGTGTGTTTTGTGGGAGCTGGGGAGTGCTTCTCAGTGTAGGGTATGCGCCAAGCATGAACAGCTGTTCAGGACTAACACCCTCCAGGTGTTACTCCCTGACATTGCATGACAGTGTTTCTGTACTCACCCAGAAAACTAATCATTCGTCTGCAGACACAGAAGCATTTTTGAAATAGTTCCTGTAGTACAGATAGGCACAACATTTAGGTCCAAATTCAAAAAAGTCCAGAAGATGCACCAGTGGGAAATCTGGATTTCTGAGATTTTTGGAGAGTAAAACTCCCCTAAAGCTATAAATCATTTAAGAAAATGTTGACTTAGGGCTTTTTTTTCTGTGAATCCCAAGAAGCAGTATCCTGGGCTTTGACACACTTAAACTTCTCTAATACTCTCTGACTTCCAGGGTCCCTCTTGGCCTTTCCAGCTGTTCACTGATTATTCTCAATGCTTGACTGCTTCTCTCAACTACTCACCCTCATCCTTTGTGACAGACCCTCTGTCTTTGATGCTGTGATTTTCTGCCATGTCTTTTTTCACCTTTGTGCCTTTCTCACCACGCATAGTCTCAAGGACTAAACTTCTCTCTCAGATTCTATCAGCAGGGATTTAAGATTTGGCTTCAAAGAAAATTATGTTCAGATGAAGATGATGCATTGCTTAAGCTCTTAACAGACTAAAATTTAGGTATGTGTAAAACAATTTTCCCCCACACCACCAGATGATGCTTTTAATAAGTGCTGAAATGGCCAAGCTTAATAAGCAGCGTAATTAAAGCAGCAAACATTATATGCTTTTGTTTCAAAGTTCCATGCAGCAGTGACAGGCTATTCTTTAATGCATTGCCCAAAAAAAGTCAAAATCTTATAAAGATACATCTATTACTGGTTGCAAAATTCTTTTGTTTCATTCTTTTGAAAGCTTCTGGAAGCCAGGAAAGGAATCAATACCTCCCTTTCTTAAACCCATTCTTTCTGAATTGTCTAAATTTTCATGATCACGTTGTTTCCTCTGCTATTTCCTCTTCAAATATTGATAAGTGAAGTCTGGCCCACAAAATAGTTATTACTGTGTAACAAGATTAGGCCTAAGGTTACCTTAAAAATACCATAGGGGTTTGGGTTTGTTTTTTCAAGAAAGGAGAAGTAATTGTACCATTGTTTACTGTGCAAGGTGCCATGTCCAATCAATGTCAAAGGGAATTTTTAGGGTTGCTACAGGAAAGAAGGATTGCTTTCACTTGAGTATCCTTATAGCTGCTAGCTACAAGCTTGGTTTATTTCCCTTGTAAGTAAATATTGCATTAGTGAATGAAATTTCTTCATAAAAGATACAGAAAGGGGTTTTTTTTGTCTAAACCTACTTTAGCTCTTGGGAAAATTCTCTAAACATCCAGTTGCCAGTGTTCTGACAAACTATTCCTGTATCTGCTAAACTCCAATCGAACTTTTTTCCTGTGCTCTAGATGGCGGCTGCAGTTTGTGTTTGTGAGATGAAATGAAGTCCTCCACTTACTCCCAATGAAGTATTCCTTTCTGTTTTCTTCACTTGGGAGATGTTTGTAGTACTATATTACATATGTAATTTGTAGAGTACACAGGAACATGAAAGATAACAGTGACTCCCTTTCAACCAGTTTTGTACACCTAACCATTCCTTCTTAAAAATCAACATTATTGAGAGGCATTTTTAGATTTGGAACCTGACAGTATAGTACAGTAAATTTCATCCTTGTGTCCAAAAACTCTTGCTGCTGCCATGGGAATTGTTAATGTACCATGTTATCCAATGTCAGCAGTAGTAAAGAAAGGACCACAGAGAGTAAATATTTAACTTAAAATTTCAGTCTCTAGAGGTTCAAACTCTGACCTCTTGGGAAAATAAGCCATCCCTGGGCATGTTTGCAGGCAACAGGCTCTCCTCATCCTGACATCTTGGACCTTCAGTAACGCAAGCCATTATCATCAGAGATTTACACTTTCAGCAACACAAATGGATTTTTTTTCTCACTTATTGTTTGCTTGATTATTTTTTAAGTTTCATTTATCCACTGATACATAACTGCACTTCAATTACAGACCATGTGAATTAGATTGCAGCTCCTTTTTAATAGGGTTTGTAATATTTCAGGACCTCTATGGTCAGAAACTGCCCTTATTTCTGCCCAAAGGCTCCTCTATGTAGTAGATCTCGCTCTTTAAAAACGTAATACATGGTTATGGATTTATTTGTTCTTAAGAATTTTAGCTGACAAGATCACACAAGGAACAAAAATTAAGCCAAGTATGTTATTCGAGGTACTTCAAGAAAAAAGGATAATTAGCATAGTGGTAGAGAAACATTGTATTTTAAAAATTGAATGTTCTGTGATTGCTGAGAATAGATAAGATGTTAAGTGCAAAAACATAGTAGGATTTCCTATTCATTATTTAGTCCACTTTATCTCACTGATTTGGGTCCTATAAAATAGGATGTTGCTCAAATGAGCCTTTTTAAGAAAGTTACATATTGGGAGAACCGTTGGCAAAGCAAACACTGTAAACCATTGCTAAGTCCTCAGGAAGGTCAAAAACACTGATGGAGATATGATTTTTGCCTCAGCTCCAGTTTCTATCTTTATTGCACACAGATGCAAAGAGAGATTTAGTCTTCAGATTCACCCTCTTTTCTCAGCTTCTCCCTAACATTTGTTTTAGAAGATCATCTTGAATGAGCTACCCTCAAAAATTGTTCTTGATTTTCTGCAATATGTCAACCTCTATCAGTCCACAAACTTTAGTATAGTTTTGGGCCTTAGTATCTTTTGTAATCCATGCACTTGAAATTTCTCCTCTCTTCTCCAATCTCATCCCTATCTAAAGAGATGTTCCCAATTTCCACTGATAATTTGGTTCTGTCTTCTTATAGAGTAATTTATTCTGCTCAGGTTTTCCTCTGAGATATTCTTCCTCATTTATTTGGCTATGTTTTAATCATTCAAACTAATTATGAAACAATATTTATCTGTGCATCCCCTCCATCTACTTTATGTCAATAGTTATAAAAGATTCCAGTCTTTATTTTATATATCCAAACATAACAGGGTGAAAAAAAAAACAAAAAAGAAAAGCCCAAACCAAAGTCCAGAGTTTGTGACCTTTACTAGAGTTAAAAATAAGCATTAAGTGTCTTTGATAGTATTTTTTTCATTTAAATTTCACAATGCAATCTGAATGAAGAAGCAAGCAAGGTATAAACAAAGGAGAGTGGTACAACTCTTAATTGTGGTATCTAAGGGAAAGTAAAAACAAAATATACATCAGTTTCTTCAGATAAATGTGGACTGGTACTCCATGATGCTTTGCTCAGTAGATATAGAAATATCCTGTCTACACTCAGTCTTCTTTCTTCTTCCATTGTGGGGTTTGTGTCCAGCCTTGATAAGAAATTACATATGGGAATTTAATCAGAAGTTGAAGTCGGAACAGGCAAATCTTCAGTCCCCAGTTCCTCATTTCTCTTTTACCATGAGCTCATATCATCAGACATTGCCCTTGCCGCCTCGCTGCATTGCAACAGGCTACAGGTGACCCCACGGAGGTGAAGACCCCATGGACCCTGGAGAACTCTATACAAATCCAATAAAAGATAGCTCTTTGTTTCCTTCCAAAAATAAAAAAGAAAAGAAAGTGAGAGAATTCTTCTGAAAGACTTAAAAACATACATCAAATAACTTCAAAATTAAAAATAAGTACTACCATTAATTATAATTTGTAAAATTGTGTATATGATAAAGATTGTGATGCCAGCACAATAACTTAGGGGGAGCAATGCAGCTTACACTTATGAAACTTCACTTTCTCAGATAAAAGACTTTACTGGGGAGTTTAAAGTAATTGGAAACAGATATGCACAAGTGCACATAGCCCACATAGCCACAAACAAGCATGCACATGCTTATACCGACTCCTTTCACTTACCTGTCTATTCCTGTTTTCTGAAGAAACACTGACTTATATTTTGTCATGGAAGGAAGAAAACAACACTTTAACAGAGGATGGATGTGAGCCTTAAGTGACTTATCAGCAATGACAGCAGTATGTGTAAAGAACACTACTGTGAGCCTGGAAACAAGTTTAGGTTTAGCTGTTAGCGGAGTAAAAAGAAAAGAGGGAGGCTGCAGCTCAGTGGCCTGCCAAATAGGCAGATGTACAACTAGCAAAAAGGAGCCAAGCATGGTTGACCTACTTATATCTGATCTGCTTTAATGCTCTCTCATATCCAGTTCTTGAAAGCATTAAATGTTTTCAAGGTTCTGTGTGCCTTCCCAAGAGCCCCCAGGGTTTAGCTGCTTGAACTCAGCGAAAACTTTGATGATGCTTCTCTCTGGCTGCGTGAAACCCCAGCAGTGACTTAACCCACTGCACCTGGGAGAGGATTTTAACCTTAGGCTCCCACTCTTGATATTTCTCTGGGATCCCAGTCCTGTGCCTCCTTGACTCTGACCCAGAGCCCAGCTTGCAGGTGGCTTTGTGACTTTTTAGCTTGATGTTGGACTTGCCTCATTACTATGGATCTACCTGACATTTTGGACCCTTGGCTGATCGCTGCAGACCTCCCTTCCCTGTTCCATCCCATGCGTCCCCTGCACTGCTGCCACTGCCTGCCACCCCATCACCTACCCTGGCAGGAGCTGCCTGCTATTGCTGCATCCTGGCAGCTGTAATAGCTGATTAGCAAGTGCAACCACTTAGAGAGCATAAATGTGCTATAAATGCCAGGTGGAAGGTTAATAATAAATAAGCACAATAAAAATAACCCTGTCTAATATATGGAGAGCACTAGATTACTTGAACTCCTCTGTGCCTGTTCTGTAATGGGTGGCTGCCTGGTCAGCAGGAAGGGGGTTAGATTGGTTTCACTTGATTTTGGCACATTTTCTACTCATCGTATTGCCCAAACAAAGAAGCCTGAGTGATGAGGCCAGAACGGAAGAGATCTGGTGACTGAATACTTTGGGGTCGCTGAAAGAGGTTAGAAGGACCCCAAAATCATTTGCCATTGACCAGTCTGTGAACAGCTGGGCTCTGGAACAGTAAGTAAGCTGCAAGTTGCTGAAAGAAATAGCAGCAGCTTTCATATTAGAAAGGCCATATGTTTCTGTTCATGGCATATTCTTCATCATGCACTTATATAACATTTAGAAAAAAAAATCTGAGATTTTGGCTGCCCCAACATTGGGGTATTGAATTGCTTGTGATTAGAGAATTTAAATTAATTTTAAATGAAAAATCTCTCTCTTTGGTAAAAAAGAAAGGCAAAAGAAAAAAAAAAAGAAAGAAAACGAAGTGTGCAAGGGTAGAACTCAGTGGCTGAATACTCTCATTATGGCTGCATCCTTGATCCAGCTGTATACAGCTATTTGATTCTCAGGGAATTCCCTGCAGCTCCCTGTGGGCTCAGACTTTCAACTTGTAGTCCTTCTGCCAGCATACTAACCTGAGTTGTGTAGCCTGAATTTTGGCATTGGTCTTCATTCAGCTGAGATCACTGCCTGCAATCTCTGCTGCTGCACAGTCACAGCGAGGAGTTCAGTGAGAGTGACAATCAGCACTATGTTCAGTCTAAAAAAGAGAAGGTATGAAAGAATTCTCATAATGGAAAAAGAGTAGAGAAATCTAGATAGGTGAAGCCTAAAGGGAAGGCTTTTTATTTTCTATATTGTGTTCAGAGCTATTTTTTGGGAGAGAAGAGGACTTTTTCTGCCTTTGGACAATGTTACAATGCTGAGTTATTAAAAAGAAAGTGTAATCATTCTCATGGTAGTGATTCTGCCTAGCAGGCTGACAGGTTGAGCACACATATATAATACAGTCTCTGAAAATCCATCTGATATCAGGTCACATGAATGAGTCATGACTACTTATCAGTGTGTCTGAATATTTACAGTAGAAAAAAAGGTTTGTGCTATATGGTATCATGCTCTGTGCCAAACAAACTTATGAACCTAGTAGACAGCCTAATACTCGCATTGCTGTACATACCTAATTTAACACACCATGTTGTCCTGGTATAACATATTACATGTTATATATTAAAGATAGCACCCTATTGCCTTGCTTTAGATACAAGTTTTTTTGTAGCTGCTAACAGATCTGTAGGAAATCTGAATGTCACTTTCTTTACTCCATCGGTAATCATAAATTACTTCATGTCAAATATCTTGAGAGTCCTCTGTGGGTTTCATTTCATTATTTGGCTGTGTATATACCTGCTGCAAAAGCAGTGTTCAGTTACCTGGGGTCATTTTCATTCATAGGTATTCTGTAGATCTGTCATTTATAAATACCTAGGGTCCTTGTATGCTCAAGCATAAACTGTTCATTATAGCTTCAATCATTTTGCACTTACTGAAGTCAATAAAACACTTTTAAAAAATTATTTTCTAAGAAAAATGTATACCATCAAACTACTTAAGCTTATTTATAACCTCTTTTTAAACATTCAAATAAGCACTCAGTGCCTGAATTAAATATAGCTCTTGTAAAGGCTTTAGAGACTTTCAGACGTCTTCATATGAAAACCAGAAAATTCTTAGTTCAATTTTATTTATGCAGAAGTTCCCTATGCTTGCCTTTGAGATTTAAAATCATAATCTACTAAATTATGTTCAGAAAGATCCACTCACAGACAAGACCAAAGAAATCAGCTCTATCAAAAATTCCACAGGACCTTGCCATTTTTCCAGTGATAAAAGAAAAAAATTCTGAAAATCAAATAATCTGAGGGAAATATTTAATAGAATTAGGAGAGACGTGTTCAGTTCTTGTTTGTGAAAACTATCCAAAATTGTCATATTTTATATCACTGTTCCAGGTTTTGTTATTTGCCTTAAAAATAAGAAGAAAACCTGCACCTTCAAGCAAAAGATCATTTAAGTACGAAAATCTATGAACAGCTTTATATATTAAGCTGACTTATATATTACTGACTACTAGATATCTTAAAACACATACTCTTGCAGACTTTCCACAAATGCCTAAACAGAATATTTAAAAGGAAATAAAAATCCCCAGATTTCTATATTATAGTCATGTCGTCCTCTGGCTTAAGATAAACATTTCATGTTATACATGTTTTGCCCAGGAACAAGTGCTGATAACAACTTATTCCACCTCCCCATGCATATCATTAAACTTTTTCTCAAATAAGGTGTTATCTGTGACATAAAAATTCAGGATTTCTGTTATGGTTTTAGTTTTCCTTTGTTTTATAGGAAATTACCATGGCTAAGACATATGATCATTTATGATTTCAAAGGTTCACCTGGTAAATAATAATTTAGTTGTTATAAGGACCATTTAGGACATCTTATTCCTTCCACAGTAAGAGAATTTTCTTATCTGTTAACTTCTTCTTTATTACTACTATAAACAAGATGCTTATCTTCTTCAAATGCCAAACTTAATTCTGCCTCAACACATCTGTCCAAACCCTGTGTTTGGATGGGAAAAGATAAATTAAAGTCTGGATTTCTAAACACCATTTTTAGCATAATTTTCTTTCAACTGCAAAAGCCATTTCATAGCTCATTGCACTGTATTTTATTTTCTTGGCTTTGGAGGATTTCAGTGGGATTTTCTATTTTAGAAAATAGAAAATGTGTATGTAAAATTGAACACATTTTTGTATTATCATATGAAGTATAAGGAAGACTTTATATCTTAACTTTTTCTGTTATGGGGGTCAGTCACAGACTGCCTTAATTCCTCTTGATCATAGCCCATCACATCTCACATACTGATTTTCTTTCAGTTCAGGTGATATTTTTCTAGATGTTCAGTTTGCCATTGACTCTACAGAATTAACAGGCAGATGCTCAATATATTTTTTCAAGGCTTTATGCAATGTGATAATAACAAAAAAGATTGTTGCAAAGTCTTTAGCACCTACTGCAAAAATACAAAATGGTATAACCTCTTGTAGGTTCCTAGAAATCCAAATAGAATTACTTGTAAAGAAAGAAGTTGATAGGAGGGAAAACTTGCGTCTAAAGACAAATAATGTGAAAAAAAGTCTGTAAACCACAGAGACTATGTCTACTATATATCTAGCAGCAACTGCTAAATGGTGAAAAATTTGTTTATGTTCTTAGTCAAGATATCAGATGTACTTGTCTGACAAAATGTGCGTATTCCACTTCCAGGCTTGGTCTCCCTCACTGATGTGAAATAAAATGAAATATGATTGCTATTTCTTGAGAATGTCTCAAGGCATTTATTAACTCTATGTGTTCTAATTTAAAAAAACCTTGGCATGGTTTCTTAATTTTCCTCTATTATTTTCCTTTGCCTGCATGCCTTCTGTGTACTGTATTTCACTGTGTCCACATTTTTATTGTAAAAGCAGGTACCACCATCAGATAAAGATCCTAGAACAGGATGAAGAGTGTGGGTCAGCATAAGGTAAAATCTACAACGATTAAATTAATAATGTTAGATTAATATCTGTGATTTGAACAGAAAAGACTGAACATAATAACTAATAATGACGAATGCATTTTCCTCCAGCATTGAATACTATGAAACAATAGATTCATATATGTGGCACATGTGCAGGACAGAGAATAGGTCATTGAGGGTAGAAATTATTAAATTCTCTTTCACTGACACAAGGTCATTTGTTATTACTGGACATGCAAAGGAAACAAGTATGTTTAAACATCTGTGAATCCTCACATACCTAAATGCACAAACAGATGCATTCTAAAATGTACCCATCTCCAGTCACAGCCTTCCTTTTGACTCCTGAATCACTGAGTTTGCTCTAGGAGCACTTGAATCCTTCTTTGTTCTTCCTCTTAGTCAAAAGCATAAATTGTTTTCTTCAGGAAGGACCTTTACAATTCAAATTCATGGTATAACAATGACATTTTTTTGACGACTCCCATCACTAGCAAAAGAAACAGTTCACCTATTGCAAGAAAAAGGACTGGAGCTACTTTCAGGCACTCTTCTGAAGCAAACAGAAAGCCCAAGAAATCTTCTGAGTCCTACAGAGATGACACTGTAGTACTGGTGAGTCTCAAAATAAAATTAGGTAGGAAAATTAATTTGTTCTATTTAGCTCCCTCTCAAAGGCAGTGCTTTCTTCAACTTGTCCTTTGATTGCAAGCTACAATTCATAAACAGTTCTGGTGTATATTACCCTACATTTATACATGTACAGAAAGAAGATTTATGGACATCACATCAAGAGCAATTGGTTTCCAATTTACCAAGAAAAGAACATTTTTTCTTTCCTAATTAGAATTCTTTGAAATTGAAGTTTCGGTTACTTCTGTTCTCCAGTGTTTTAGATCTCACTTAAGAGCTTGAGATCAGCAATTTCTTATAGTGCAACTTTGAATCAAGTTCAATTTATACAGACCACATTAGGATTATGATGATCTTCTTGAGCGCATTACTACTGTTAGGGTCTTCCAGATTGTGTTAGCATGTATGCATTGTTGAACAAAATACAAGAGGATAAGGTATCAGATAGAGACCTAAAATATAAATAATTCTGGGTGGTAGAGGGGTTAGTTTGGGGTTATTATTGTTGCTGTTGCGGTAGGGTGGATGAATCATAATAATAATAATAATAATAATAATAGTAATTACTTTAAAATTTATTAATTTTCATATTATAATTTTATGTCAGTAATTACAAAGTCAATGGAAAAAAAAGCCACAACAAAGACATATGTTGCATGCTGCTGGCCGTACTATGTTCAGAATTTATTTAATATATATGTTAGACCTAGGCACTAGAATTAAACTTAGAATTAAATTCCACTTGAAAGCTGAATCATCTAAAACACCAGATTAAAGGAGCAGCTCTTTCTGAATTTGTATGCTATTGAGAGGATCATTCCATTCTTGTCACTTCTTGCTACTTTATATGTTGCTACAACAGTGTAGAACCTGATTCAGGAAAGGTTGTTCAACATTGTTCAGAAAAATATCTCACTGGAAGACAGACTGAATTGAGAAATAGGCTTAGATTGTTCCTGTAGGGACAGCTGATTAATAGCTGTTTACTAACTGGACTTCATAAAACTTCTCTGTTCTTTCCATGGGTTTCTAGCCATGCTCCACCATAATAATTTGTTTCTAAGTAAAATTGGTAAAGAGTTTGTATTACAACTGTTCCTGAAGCCCGTTTTCAGAAAGAAAACTGCATTTCCTCTTCCTATAGTTTCTATTCTGTGAAAGAAAATTTGTGTTTTCGGGAAATGGTTGTAATTTGTCTCTCAACTGACTGCAATTACCTGAAGTTTGACTGTATCTCTTAAACTAGAAGACTGCAATTATTTATTTTGACATTATCCCTCTTGTTCTGCAAAACATATGACCTTTTATCATATGTTCTTGTTAATATTTTCCACATAGAAAGCAACCTGCATATATAAGTGTATTTTCTTTCTTTGATGCTTGAAGCTGGGTTTTATATATATTGAAACTGGTGAGAGTACTGACTGCCTGACTCTGAGGCTAAAACCAGAGGGGAAAGCCTATGGAAACCATGGTTAGCTTTGAAATGCTGAATGCTATCTGCTGAAACTGTCCCTGTTGGTAAAAAT